GAGATGTGTTACTATGCGGTTCATGGTTTCAGGTGTAGACTCACATGGGAATTAGTAGAGTCGCCTGGAGACCCATATAAACTCACACAGGAACCCGTTGACTCACAGGAGGACCAATTGACTCACCCAGAGACCAATACTAGACTCACGTAGTAGCAACCCATCGTCGAAAACTATCGGAGCGGGCAGTGGCGTTCCGTGCTCCGTGTGTGTGGCACACGGTTTCGTGATTAGTGACAGTCATCGCCGTATCGTGTGTGGGCTACTCTGCATTGGCTATTGGTGCAGCAGCAGCAGGAGGTGGAGGAAGGAGGAGCAGGCGGTAGCTGCCATCTGCTGCGCGCTGCTCTGCCGCCCATCAGCAAGGGGCCGTGGTTTTTCCTGCGGGGTAAACCGAAACCCGTCGGATGGATGTATGTCCCTGCTGTGGGGTAGGCGATTAAGGAAAGTGCTCGTTTGACTGTGCAGCACATCGCACCGCGTGTCACACCATCTTGCCGGAGTGCACCACGGATGAAAGGGCCCTTTGCCAGTGGACGGCGTTTGTCGACGGGGCTGTCGAGACCTCTATCGCCAACCCCACCACAGGCGGCAATTGTTTAAGCTGGATGCACCCTCGCCCATAAGACTCGGCAGCATCGAAGCTGGCCCCAAAATGGTGCCCGCGCGGTGTTTAGATCGCCTCCCCACGTGCCATGAATTGTCAGATCAGTGGAGTAACAAGCAAGGGGGGGGGGCAGGGGGTGCCTTACCCCCCCCTACCTCCCCCCTGGTGACCAAAGCTATGAGTTTGGGCCCCCTTGACAACCACCACGAGACATGTTAATCAACAACAGTCTCTAAAACAACAACAACAACAATCACTTGTATTTGTTATTGAAAACTCGGTTTAAATTGGTGTCTTTTTTTTCAATTAAAATGCTGAATGATGGGATGAGGCAAGAGGAGGAGCCGCGATGTATATATAATAGTCTCCTCGGTGCGACCGTGCGAGACAAATCAAATGTTGGGGTCCCATCTGACCAATTTCTGCACCTCCACCTGGGCTGATGACGTCGTTACCTCGCCACTGTGTCAGACACGTCGCACCGGAAGGCCGCTAGGCTGATGGAACTAAACATGGTCCATTTAAAGCTTTCGTGACTGCAGGGATTCATCTTCTTGGTTCTTTCGGTAAAGTCACGTAGAAGGGAAATAATAAAATAAGAAAAATAAAACATATTTTATTATGCTTTAATAAAGGGAAATAATCAAATAATAAAAATGAAACATCTTTTATTATGTTTTGGTTTTATTATTTTATTATTTCCCTTCTACGTGACTTTACCGAAAGAACCAAGAAGATAAACATGGTCCACCACATTCGTCACTTGACACCGTGGCCTTAAAATAAATGGATAAAAACACGTACATGAAAGGCGACGTTTCAGGCAACGACCCTTCTTCTGAGCACGTACAATGCACTTGCTAGAAATGGTGGTTGAATTTGTGTCGACGTTCCGCGCGGCTGATGTTGACCCTGGAAATAAACAACTCGAGGCCCAGCTGATGGTCACCCTGGGGAAGACGAGGCGCGTTTCCGTCTCTCGAGTGCCAGCCCCCGGTTGGACAAAAATAAACGTGGAATTGTCTCGTTTGTCCCCTTTTCTCAGCGTGGCAAGGCCACTGCCAAGCCCCCTCGCCCCCTCCCCCCGTGTGCACACCACTCGATTGTTAACGCGAGGCATCGGACAACTCCGTATGTGTGCCATTACATCCTGCGCGGGATTCCTCCGCTAAGCTCTGTTGCGAGTCATCTTCTTGCTTCTTTCGGTAAAGTCACGTAGAATGGAAACAATAAAAATAAAACATAATAAAATAATTCTCACGACGTTTCGGCCACAACGCACGCAGCCGTCAGACGCTGTCTCCCCGACAGACCTGGTCTTCACCTGGTGACGGCTGCTTGCGTTGTGGCCGAAACGTCGTGAGAATTATTTTATTATGTTTTATTTTATTATTTTTATTGTTTCCATTCTATGTGACTTTACCGAAAGAACCAAGAAGATGAATCCCTGCAGTCACGAAAGCTTTAAATCGAAATTTGCTGCGAGTGTTGGAGGAGAAAAGCCAGATTTCATTTGTGGAGTGTAAAAAAACAAGATATATACACCAACAATAAAGATTTTTGTTGTTGGGTTCGATCGCGTAAATAGAAATGTGTCATTAAACCCGCCACCATCCGACACAGCCAATTAGCAAGATTTGTCGCGTAAACAAAACGTAGCCAATTAGTTTCTATTTCAGCACGCCGGTTGTGTGTTGGAGAGGAAAAAACTCACAACGTTGAGAATTCGAGTCCTGTGACGTTCCACCGGTGACTACCACAACCGGCTTCATCAGGCGACAACTCGATCTAACCCCCAAAAAACTCACCTTTATCATTGATAATATTAGTCGCTTCGCTATTCTGGCAAATCGCCCGATGATGCTGAATGCAATTACCAGCGAAACGTCGTACTATTCAAATTTTAAATGTTGTGGATTTACTCTCCAACACACCGGTGGGCTGAAGTAGTATCTAATTGGCGCGTTGTTTACGTGAACAAACCTTACTGGCCGTGTCGGGTGGTGGAGGGTTACGACACATTTATACTTACGCGATCTGACCCAAAAACCGTTATTATAAATAATATTGGTCGCGAAAGCCTACGTGTTAAAAGCCTACATGTTACACTGATATATACAAATATATATATATATATATCCATGCATACAATGACAAAGCACTCAAATAGAGCTGCACGCGTAATAAGCTGCCAGCAACCTACTTTCTGTACTGCATCTCCTAGAGGCAACCAACCCCCCATGATCCGCTAACCCCCTAAACCCCTCCCAATACGGTGTGGTTTCAGGCCTGCATTATGGCAGTGGCGTTATCGAACAAGTGAAATTAATTGATTGAAATCGGGTTTGTTAAATGCACGAATGAATTGATGAACGGATGAATGAATAACAACGGATAACAGAAACTCGATAAGGGTCGGCCATTAGTGTTTGTTACGCCACAAATAACGCATGTCACGTTGCTAAATTACACACCGCCACGTCACCACGTGCGTATGTCTGCACTCGAAGTCGCGGTGGCGAGATGTTAACTCCCTCGCCTGGTATGCAGGAGGTCGTGGGCTCGATCCCGAAATTGACGCCTCTATATTTCGAGTTTGCGTGTCTGTCTCCCTCCCCGTGATCGCTTGGGTATTTCTCCAGGTCCTTCGGTTTTTCACTCCATTTTTAGAATCAACATTGTGCGTTTTAGAGTATTTGGCTGCGATGCATTTCCACGTGATTAGCCACTACGTTGATCAATCCATGTGGCCATGTCGCTACAGAAAAAAAATAGCTCTATATAGCTCAGTGGGCCTTACCATGGTAAAATAATAAAAACATGTTTAGTCTTCAGGTTTTCTATCCTATACGTACAAATCAGGTCGTTTGTCTGGCATACAAATCATAAAGGTTACCTGCGTTGATTCCAGGCAGGTGAGTTTCACGTCACCTCGTGCGTAGGAAGGGCTGCCCGCCAAGGATTGTATATGCAAATCTTCCAGGTCATGTGACTTACCAAAACTCCACGAATACATGTCGTACATCTTGCGTGCAATAATCGTACGAATCTTAAACGATTGTGCTCTGGGGATGGGCTTGCGGATGCCTTCATCCGGCAGTGGATTGATCATGGTGACGAATCCTCTCTCAAATGAAGGTGAACGTCACGTTCCCTCGTCCGTAGGACGGCCTGCCCTCTGGCCCATGCCCTCGCAATTGGGGCCGCTTACATAACCGGGTGAAACGCATTAAATTGGGGAAGATTATGGTACGAGACCAGACCTTGACGTCGTGGAAATTCCACAATGCCATGGCAGGGGATGGGCTTGGACAAGGGTAACCTTTTCGACAACCACCGTTTAACTCTTTCCCCCACAACGTGGTACTCGATTTAGCGACCACCCGACCCGAATGTGATCTTGGTTACCATCAGCCCACAGTGGGCCAGGTACCGTGCGCCTTGCTCACTGTGTGTACGCAATGGGCGCGTATGCACATGTACGTGTGTGTGTGTGTGCGCGTATTCATATGTGGGGAGCGGTGGTGTAGCGGTTTAGCGCTACGAACCTGGCGACCCGGGTTCGATTCCCGCTCACGGCCACCACCAGTGACGATTATTTGAACCGGCCCCGGGCCTCCCTCTATGTAGACTCAGCCTCAAATGAGTACATGGTACGGTGTGCAGTAAACATCGTCACTGGGGAGACAATGGCGGTCGGGCGTCGTGCATAGGTGCTCGTTAACTGCGTTTGCCAAAAGTCTGTCAAGGCTTTGTCTTTGTACTTATGTATGCGTGCAAGGCGGCGTATGTGTTTGGCGGTGTGTACGTTGTGTATATATAATAAACCCGATTGTGTATACAATACATTTATACTTATAGCCTTGTGTGCCTGTATATGTACACGCCTGTATATGTGCACGCCTGTATAAATATACACGTGCCACACAGGTACGGATTAGGCACAAGCCCTCACCTGTCTGACTCGGTGAGTCATCCAAAACACAGATGCTCACCCCGCCCCTACACCACCACCCCACATCCCTGGGCATCATCAAACAAAAGCAAAACGCCGAACGCCCCAAGTGGCTCAAGGCGCTCTACGCTCGTGAAACCAAACAAAGAAAGAAAAAAAAAACCCGAAAATAAACTAAACATAAAAATTGCAAACATCAATTAACGTCATTTGTAATCGTTCTATTCGAGCAAAACGTGCCACGCGGCTGATGTAATTAAGGTGGAGCAGCTTGTCTGACTCGCAGTCAAATCATTGATTAGGGTCCCCAGTAGGCGAGCACCCACCACTGCCCCCCCCAAAATAAAACTGCCCCCCTCGACACAGCCCCCCCTTTCCCCAGCCCCCCTCGAACACAACCCCCCCTCCCCCCACGTCGCACCACCCATTCATCCTCACCGCACTGCGTGCGTCCGATCTGACCCAACTTTGGAGGTCTCTTTCCTTGCCCACCGGCTCCACCTCCACCTCCTCCGCCACCGCCGCCGCCTCCTCCTCCACCACCTCCTCCTCCTCCTCCCCCGCTGCCGTAGAAGTTGTCTGTGCCCTGGAGGCGGCACGAGAAGGCCAGCTGCCCCACGTCCGATCCCTCGGGGAAGCGCGCCAGCTTCTCATCCGCGTAGGGCATCACCTCCGACATGCCTGCGCCAAGCGCTCTTCAATTCGCCGCGCTCTCTCTCTCTCCTCCTCCCCTCCTCCTTCACGCTCTGTTCCCTCGGCGTCTCTCCGTCTCTTCACTCCTCTTCTGGTCTCCGCGCCGCTGTCGTTCTCCCCCTCCCCTCCTCCTCCTTGTCTCTGTCTAATTGCCCGCTGTTGTCCCCTCGTCTCAGGGAGTCGTAGCAAGCCCCGTGTCCGTCCTCTCGTCTTCTGCTTCTTCCTCTCTGCGTCTCTTTGTTCAATGCGACCGCAACGCGATTGGAGATCGATGCCTCTCTGACAGTTAAACAGCTGCCACCACCACCGCCGCCGCCGCTGCTGTTGCTGACGATGATGATGCAGCCGCTGTTGCTGCTGCTGCTGCCACCGCCGCTGCGATCGGCCGACGAAACGCGTTCGTTACACGGACGCCACCAGCACCGCAGCAATCAAATCAATAGCAATACTAATGACAGCGGCGAGGGTAATTACGCTCGACGTTGGATAAATAATAGTCGAGGAGTCTTCTTCTTCTTCGATTGTTGTCGTCTCGAGCCCCCTTTTGTCGGATAAAAAAACAAACAAATTCGATTCTGTTGCGCGTCAATTGGTCCCAATGCTGCTGCTGCCGCTGCTGCTGCTACCGAAGCTGCTGCTGCTGCCGATGATGTTGTTTTATCACCGTGCCTCGATGAACGGCGCTGGTTCTATTCTACACAACGCGGACACCTCTGTCCATCGGTTGTGTCCGCTCGGCTCAAGCCTGGCGCTCTCTCTCTCTGCCTCGCGAGATCTCTTCACTCCGTGTGTCACCTACTCCCCCGCGCATCCCACTCATATAGGCGTGACGTCACCCCACTTCATCCCGAGCGCGAGCGCCGTTGTGGGGAGGGGGGCAAGGGGGGGGGCGCTACCACCAGTGTCATTGGCCTAGGTGGGATCCCAGGTACCGCCTACAACCAAAGCCAAAGACAAAGGTCCCCCGTAAAGCCAGCCTTCCCCCAGACCTTTTGGAGGGGCAAGTGCTGTTAGCGAGGAACACCTATGGAGGCGAGCACCACGCCCGACCGCCTTTGTCTCCCCCCCCCCCCAAGCGCCAATGTTGTTTTCACGTCCGCATCAGGTGCTCGTTTGAGGCTGAGCTGACCTTGGGGAGGGTCTAGGACCGGGTTCAGATAATCGTCACCGATGTTGGTGGCCGTGAGCGGGAAACCTCGAGCCGTCGCGCTAACCGCTACGCTACCGCTCCTGGGCCGCCTACAACCACCACCACCATCGTCGTCTCACCCACCACCACCACCACTCCTCCCTCCCCTCCTCTACATCACAACCCACAACCCCCCATTCACCCCCCCCCCAAATTCTACCCCCCACCACAATCCCTCTCTTAACGGTGACGTCACCTTAACGGCCCCATTGCACGCGTAGTGTTTTGTGAATGGCCATTATTTGTTTAATGCACAAACACAAATAGACAAGATTCACCCATATTTAGTAGTTGACTTAACGACCGCCGCAGTGATCTCGTCGGGATCGCCTATTGAGATGTGGTCCACGCACGAGAGGGTAGTGTGGTCGGAAAAAAAAAACCCACGCCCGGCCGCCTTTGTCTCCCCAGTGCTGTGTTTTTTGAGACCGAGTCGACCCAGGTTCAGATATTTGTCACTAAATTTGGCCGTGAGCGGGATTCGAACTGGGGGTTGATGGGTTCATCGCGCAGTGCGCTAACCGCGTCGCCACCGCTCCCCCTAACACACGCACACACTGGGACTATATATAGCGTGGGAGCTCATGCGGAGATAGTGGTAACATGTGCCTTACTCACAGGGGTTGTAACGAGCTTAATAATCGATTAAGATCTATTATTAAGCTCGCCGTAAATGCATCGATTGATGTCAATTATAAGCATCGATATTTTTCTTTCTTTCATATACGTATGCGGTGTATTTAACTGGATCACGTGACGCTTGCCATCGCCAGAGGCCGCTACAGTCACCACAATTGCAAAGCAAACTAAAATAAAGTCTTGAGGTGGCCGGTTGGCTCAAGAGTGTCAGAATATTGAGCTGTAATTGCGGAGAGCCTGGGTTCGAATCGGGGTCTCAGCCGCCCTGTGTTCAAACCGGGTTCTCAAGTGTATCGAGCTAACGATCTCAACTCGACCATCGATAACTTGCCATGGAAACCCATAGATTCACAGAGACCTATAGATTCACGTAGATACCCATAGATTCACAAAGATATTCATAGATTCAGAGACCCATAGATTTACATAGATACCCATAGATTCACATAGATACCCATAGATTCACAGAGACCCGTATATTCACAAAGATATTCATAGATTCAGAGACACATAGATTCGCATAGATACCCATAGATTCACATAGATACCCACAGATTCACAGAGACCCATATATTCACATAGATACCCATAGATTCACATAAATACCCACAGATTCACAGAGACCCATAGATTCACATAGATATCCATATATTCACATAGATACCCATAGATTCACATAGATACCCACAGATTCACAGAGACCCGTAGATTCACAAAGATATTCATAGATTCAGATACCCATAGATTCACATAGATTCCCATGAATTCACATAGATACCCATAGATTTACACACCCATAGATTCACATAGATACACATAAATTCACACAGATACCCATTGATTCACATAGAGACAAATAGATTCACACACTGGCGGAGCCAGTGGGGGGTGGGGTAGCACATGCCCCTCCCAATGATCCGACCGAAATCCCGAATTTCGATCGGATCAATGGGGTTTATGAGTAATAAATCGGCATTTTGCGACCCCCACTGCCACTGTGTAGCAGCATATTATTACGTGCCAGGGACTCGATGAGATGATAGGACAATAGTCCGAGTCCATAATTGGCAATAAGTAACGGCAAAGCAGTTATAAGTGACTCAGAATTGTGCGCAGTTGTGTATACAGAGCACACGACTTCCCTGAAGGAATTCACCTTCAGCGAGCGCGATGCCGATCACACAACGCGGTTCGAATTCGACCCTCGATCGATGGCTGCGCCATCGCCGCACACGCGTCGAATAAAAAGCAAGGGACAAGTCCTTAGTTACTAACAACTCCTTACTTGCTAACAACTCCTCTATCATTTTTCATTGCTGGATTCACATAAATATTCATAAATTATCATAGATACCCATAGATTCATACAGATACCCATAGATTCACATCGAGACTGAGTTGTAATGAAATCTGGGTTCTCCAGTGTAGCGAGTTCACAGTCTCAGCCCAATCAATGCGACTCGTGCCATTTTTATTCAGTAGTTCGATCGCGTCGAATCTGGAGCCTGGATATTTCTCGAATGGGTGACCATCACGCACGCACAAGGTCGTGTCATTGGGATATTTGGTGATGGGCAGCAGAGTGCAGCACAGTACAACAATGTGCTTTGATTGTACTTCTGTGCTGGCCACCTTCACCAACCCGCGTTGCCCAGCATGGTGAAGTATGGTCGAATAGCAACAACGCGCCACTCCGCGTGAAGTCCTCTTCGCGACAGGGCTGTACACGTACATGATCTGGCCGAGGTATTAATGCCATGACCCACACAGGTATTAGTCACCTAATGTGCGCGAATCTTCCCCAAGGGGACACTTGAGCCAACACCCATGAGAGGTCATCGAAGGCATCTTACTCATCAGCTTTGCCTGCATTCCCTCACAGATACTCATCTTCTGTGAGGACGTGGGCTACCACCACTATCATCACTTTTTCTCACCTATTCTTTGGTTCTTTCGGTAAAGTCACGTAGATAGAAAAATAATAAAAAAGAAAGTGAATAAAAAATTATAAAAATAAAAAATAATAAAAATAAAATAAAGACAAAAACCACGACGTTTCAATCGTAACACAAGCGGTCGTCCTGGTGATGACCGCTTGTGTTATTTTTTTTAATTCACTTTATTTTTTTTAAGTCAAACATTTTCTCACCTGTTGATGGAGAGGCGAGCCCACACCAGCCTGGGATTTCCAGCCTCCAACACACCCCACCGTCACATTTCAAGCCCTCCCCTATTTTTTGGCGACAGTTTCTGATGTCCTGCCCCTATTAGCAGGGGCCGTCCATCCCCTCCCATGGTGATAGGAGTTGGAACCAGTCCCAACTATTCCCGTCCGCATCTCACAGAGAGCCCGGGGGGTGGTAACGGTTCAAGCTCCCAACGGAGGATGCACGACCAGAGGCTGTTCTAAACCCGCCTGCCCGCCAGCGAGCTTCTGGGAAATTCCGTGCGGCCAGCCAAAGTGATTGGCTGGTGTTTCTCGAGGTGCGGTGAGTAATTATTTTGACTAGACCACGTTGGGATTTTTGGTTCGACGGCGTCATAGATGGGTTTTTTTCTATTGTTGTTCTTCTTCTTCTTCTCTCCAAGGGTCTCTCCGGCACAAGTTTGTCATCGCCCTTGTTTGGAGGTTCCTTAGGTAATTATTATGCCGCAGTGGAAAATGTTACCAAACTCCTATCAATAAACCAGAGAGCCCTCTTAGTCATTGAAAGGCACAAACAAGGTCGCGCACACACAGGCGAAGAAGGTACCCATATAATCTACACAGGCTGTTGGAGAAAGTGCTGTTAGTGAGCACCTTGTTACTAGAGTTACTAGAAACTAGCAGTGCACTGGGGGGGAAGGGGGGTCGTGAGTGTTCGGGGTATGTCGCCGGGGTCAAAGTTCAGCGCACCAAACACGACGTCACCGTTGACCACGCACAACAAAGACAAAGATCCCCCCTATAGCCTGTAACAGACTGTAGGGGCAAGTGCTGTTAGCGAGCACCTATGAAGACAAGCACGGCACAGGACGGGGTGGGTGGCCAGCACTACACCCGGCCGCCTTTGTCTCCTCGAGTGACGATGTTTGTACACCGCACCAGGTACTCATTTGAGGCTGAGTCGACCTAGGGGACGAGGCCCAGGACCAGTTCAGATAATCGTCACCAGTGTTGGCCGTGAGTGGGAATCAAACTGGGGTCACCGGGGTTCGTAGCGCAGCGCGCTGACCGCTGCACCACCGCTCCCCACACAAACATACAAAAGACAAAGATCCCCCCTATAGCTGGTAACAGACTGTTGGGGCAAGTGCTGTTAGCGAGCACCTATGAAGGCACCGCACCAGATACTCATTTGAGGCTGAGTCGACCTAGGGGAAGAGGCCCAGGACCGGTTCAGATAATGGTCACTGGGTGTTGGCCATGAGTGGGAATCGAACCCGGATCGCCAGGTTCGTAGCGCAGCGTAGCGCTAATCGCTACACCACCGCTCCCCACACAAACACACACTCACATGGACACACACACACACGCGGATTGATGCACACGCGCATACACACACGGACAGTCACAGTGACACAGACGCGTTATGAAAGGGCGTTGTATTGAATCGTATGCAAATTGACGCCGCACTGGCGTCATTAGAGTGCTTCTGACTCAGGTTTCAAACATGTTCTGGCTTCCCTCAAACTTGTTGGACTCTCTAAGACTGAGGGAGCCCGAGGGTGGTGTGGTAGGGCGTGTGTGTGTATACAAGGCGACGTTTCGGGCAATGATCCTTCTTCACAGCACACGGGTAGAGTGGGAGGTCCTAAGTCTCTCTGGCCTGTGTGCCGTGAGGTCCATTGGTTGAAACGTGGCTTATGTTTTTTTTAAAGACCACACACGTTTTGGCCAAAGTTGGTAAAACATTGGTTCCAACGGCTCCAACCGCATGCTAACGTTGGCCCAACGTCGCGCGTTTACAGGAGAAGTTTTCTACTTGTTTGTTTAAAACGTTGGTCAAA